TAAGATATTAAAACAAATATAGTAACGTCTTCAGCCTAAACTTTTAGTATAATTTTGAAAGAATGTCATAAAGATTATCTCTTTAATTGATTTTTTATTGGTTTTAGATCCTATATAACTATATAAAATCAGAAAAAAATGCTTTCTTTCACACTTTATATTCTACATAAGGAGGCAAACGGAATCACAGCTTTAGGTAAGTTAATTAAAGTTTAGTTCAAAAGAATTACCACTCTATTGCTAGGACATGCAAAATGTTAAAAAAACGTAGTATTTTAAAAAAAAAATGCAGCAAATTGGCTACGTTCTCCAATTTATAGTATACAATAGTAAAAAAGTATTACTGGTGTCGGGGGATAGAGTGCTCGCCCTGCAATGAGGTAAATTGGGTTCGAATTCCAGAGGGTAGCTGGTCGATACGAATTACACGCTCGGTCGCACCAACCGCAGTAGTGATGTAAAATATCCTCAGTGGTAGACAGATTAGGGAAGTTTTCGTGCTTATTCTCTCCATGTAACGCAAATCAGGGTTTGTTCCATCAACAAATCCTCAACGAAGACTGATTTTTCCCAATACTAGATCCTGGAATTCCCTTGTTTTCTGGTTTGGGTTAAAAATTAGAAGACTACGAAGTTGAACATTGGTTGTGGTAAACTAAATATTGGGCCGACAACTAAAAGGAATCATAACTAACTCGAAAATGACAACTAAAAGAATTAATTTTTCTAGATAATAATTTGGAAATTCTTAGGTTATGAGGTAACAGTTATTAAGAAAACATCAGATGAATTTTACTAAGAACTAACATTTGAAGCGGCTGTGGAGATTTTTGAGTAGCCTTGATTCACCTCCATGGTGGTCATACACTAAATGCATCGCCCTCCTTAAATAATTCTTTATAATTTATTATTATTTTTGTGAAAGCGTTTCAAAAAATTTTGAATTTTAAGGTATATGAATTGTAAAATCATTTTAAGAAATGTAATTTTAAATAAATAAATAAAGAAACACACTGCCTCCTTTTACGTAACAAATGTTGAGATAAAAATGTGGTAGTTCAAATTTTAAAATTACCATTTCAGGAAATAAAATATATTTAATATAAGTTTTGATTTCGATTGAACAATACTCATAGTGTGTTGCTTAAAGCATTTAATAAAGGTATCACACAGCAATACATTTGGCTGGTGGTTACTGAAAATAATAAGAGGAAAATACTTCTGAAAATTTTCTAATTCATCGAAATGGTTAGACAGTAGACAGATTCCCAAAACATTTAGATTCTAAGTCTTCGATAAGATTCTCAAAACATTTGATCTCCCTGCTATTAAAGGTATCTGACAGCAATACATTTGCATACCTGCCAACTTTTACACATTTGCAGTAAAATTTTATTTTTACATTTAAAGTGGTAGTAAATATATACCATTAATTCTTTTATAAACCTATAAAAGAAATAATAGTTATTAAATGATTTTGATCATCACATTTCTTAAAAAAATTAAGCATATTGTCATGGCTTACAGCTTAAGCTTTTTCAAATACATCGTATTTTTATGCTTAAAATTGAAATTTTATTTCCATTTCAATACCACTGGGAAAAATCATAATGAAAGGGATAAAATGTTGGCAGTTATGTATGCATTTTGCTAGTGGATACTGAAAAAAAAAAGGAAAATATTTCTGTATATAGTCTAATTTCATGAAATGGCTAGAAACTGCATCGCCCTCCATGGTGGTCATACACTTATTGACATATAGCTTTACTTGTCTTGTTTTATTTGAGATGTTTATATCTTGTAACTACTCATTATGTATTGTAACACATACTGTATTCTCTGTAACTTTGTTGGGGTCTTCAACACTATTGTAATTTGGCTCAGAATAAGGGTGGGCCGTCGGCTTTAAGCACTATAAGGCGGCCCTCCCGGCTGTTGCCATATGACTCTTGTATTTTATGTATCTTATGCACTTCATGCATTTTATGTTCTTTTCTGTTTTTACTTGCTTTTAATAAACATTTACCCGTATGCCCTGAATTGGGGTGGGTTGGGGTAAATATTTTCATACACTTATTGACAACTTACTCTAGGATGCTTACAAGTGATATTTGCATTTTTTTTCCTAAAAGTTTTATGTTTTCTGTGCCAAATGACTCCGTTTACACTTTGAACCTTCTGGGTTTCAGAACACAATAAATTATAATTTTTTTTAATGTCCTAACTTTCTGGCAATTTATTTATTTAACTTTGCATTTAGCCACGCTTAATTTTTTATGCGCTTTGCAGCATTTTGTGGTCCATCATTAGCAATTGCCCATCTATGTATTAATAAATAACAATTTTAAGTCGGAAAAAGTATCTCAATGGTTGCTACCATTATAATTCATTATTACTTTTTAGCTTTCGTTAGCTTACATTGAGCGAAAGAAAGCATAAAAAAATCATAAATAAAATAAATCATAAAATGAAGAATATTATATGAAATGAAAACTTTTTTAGTTATATATTCATCGATAACATTAGTTGAGAAATTTGGAAAAATTTAGTTGTATAATTTAAATGTATTTCGTAGGAGATAATAGCAATTTTCTAATCTTTTATAACTAGAAAAAAAAACCTTAAATGCCAATTACTAAGCAAAATTATCTTTTGATATATGATAGAAATTTGCAAATACTTTAAAATTTTTAAGATTAAGGTGTAATATTAAAAAAAAACATAAATATTTGGAATCAGGACATTAAAAGATAGATTATGAAATCAGAAAATATTTAAAGTTATTATAAAGTCTACTTTTTAAATTTATGATATTATTTTCTATGATTTAAGACATTTTTTATGCTTTTCTTTTTGATACGGAACATTTGTCTTTTTAAAGTTACGGGACGGTATGATATTGATTGAAATGGCAAAATTCTAATATAAATTCTTAAATGACAAAATAGACATATATTTTTTTATTGACATGAGTATTTATTCCTCTCCTAGTTCATTTTATTATTCTTTTTATGAGACTTAGGTAACACATTGAAAATTACGTTCTCTTCTTTCAACTTTTACGAGAATTTTTGCAGATTGTCATCGCGCAAGTAGATATTTCACTACTATCGTAAAATTTTTGCAATTAGATTAGAAGAATATAATCTCAAAAGATAGAGAAAAATTATTATGGAAAACAATGAAAGTTTCGAAGTAATCCCGGAATGCTAATTACTTGCGAAACGCTCTCTTCTGGAAGTAATAAATATTATAATACAATAAGAAATATTATAAGAAGAAAATTTTATAATAAATTTATTTGAAGGATATAAAATTTTTTTGAAAGATATTGAATTATTATTTGCCTTATTTTACTTACCACTTTCTAATTTGAATTACAAATCTTGTAAGCATATTAAAAACGAGTGTCGATTATTTATGGCAACATAAAAGAAAAAAAAATTACGTAACATTTAACGTTATTCATATTGATTCAATTACATTAACGTTGTTTTTCCAGATTTTTAAATACCTCCGAAACTATCACTTACCTGCTTCTTCCACTAAGTTCTTCAGTTAAATTTGCAGGGCAGGTGTGCTTATTGTAGTTCTGGTTAATTTTCTTCGTTTATGGAATGTTTACCAGGTAAACATATTTCTTCATTGATGAACTAAGTAATTTTAATTTAAATGAAAAAGTTGAAATATTAATGAATTTTTTTAGAAATTGGTATTTTTATCATTATTTAATATGTATTTGATTAAATAAATTTATTAAAAGTTATAAAATATATTAAATAAATAATAGATCATTGATTAGATATAATTATGATTTCAGGCTCAAAAATCATAATTGGAAAAAGTAAATCTTAACAGTCAAAGTCCCTGAAACCTCTCCACGATATTCAAAACCTTTTGGGAGCCACTGCTTTAACGCATAAATCTTCACTTTTAGAGCTTAAATCTTAAATTGTTTTATTTAATGACATATCGATAATTCAAACGTATATATAAAATATACATTAATTATATAGTCATGCATTCAAATGATAAAGAAGCTTAATTTTCAGAAAATACTTTATATCTTGTATACAAACACTTTGTAAAATATTTCCCAACGACCATACTTGTTGACAGGTATGTGTTCACACATTTCATATTTATAACAAATTAAAATAAAGATATATGTTATAAAATTTTATTTAACATGACTCTGAAATTTTATTTAGAAAATTCTCTATTGTATAAACCTTAAGAAATCAAACTAATCACCGTATGAATTACAATTTGTGGTGTACATAATATATTAGCCCTTTGAGAGTTAGCCTCAGCTTCTTGCGAATTTTAAGCTGAAGGATTTTCAGTATCATTAAAGAAACTAAAAAAGAAAAAAAAAGAAACCGAGCAGAAAGGGACCAACGCGAAGGGTATAACTCGTAGACCCCCTGCAAAGATCTAGATGTTTTTTTATTTTTTCAGTTTAAAATCAATTTGGTGCCTCAACGATTGTATTTCGCGCGGAGATCGCGATACGGAAATATCCCCGGTTAATGTGACAAATTCACTTAAATTATTCACTCTAAATGGCTTGTTTGGTTCTTATTAATATTTACAAGTTAGTATTAATAATAACCGATAATTCACACTGTAACATATACATGCTATAACTGATACCTCCAAAAATTAAATAACTGATACCTCCTAACTGCCACCTCCAAAAATTATTATATTACTCCAATTATAGTGATGACCGGAGTTTTTTTATTTTTGAAAGTAACACTTGAATGTCCAATGATTTTTTTTCTTTCTGAATAGCTTAAATTTCGAAATTCAAATTTTTTTTTTGGATTTTTAACAAAATATTTTGATAATTTTTTTCATTTATATACATTATAACATTATAGTTTGAATTTTTAAGAGAAATCGATGAAAAGTTACTCTATTTTTCAAAGTTCGAAGCAAATAATTATTCGCTTTAGTATAGTAAGTTTTTCAAAAGAAATAAAGATATAAATAGATAATACAGTGAAACTTCTCCTAAAGGCCACCTCTACTTAAGGGCCACCTCTATTAAGGGCCAATATTTTGAGGAACGAAAATTTTCCCCATAGACATAATGTTAATTTTCCTCCCATTAGAGGGCCACATTTTCCTGACTACCTCCAATAAAGGCCATTTTTTTT